ACATTTATATAAACAGGTATACAAACACACGCACACATACAAAAAAAAACACACACAAACACTTTTAACACACATCATACACACGAACACACATACACAAACATACAGACACACATACAAAAACACAATTGATTGTCGATTGTTTACAATGAAAACTAATTCAGACTTCTGGTGAACGTCTGACAGACGGAGAAATGAATGAATGAATGAACAATCCAGTTATAATCACATCCATAAACACACCCATAAACACATCCATAAACACGCACATAAACACATACATACATACACACACACAAACATACAAACACACATACATACATACGTACACGTGCATAAACACGAACAAAAATACAACACACAGTAGTTTAATAAATAATAATCAACAAACAACAACAACAACAACAACACAAACAACAAAACATAAAATCCAAAATAACAAAATAAATTAAAAACAAATTATAATACATAAACAACTCTATCTACAATGACATCACCATCATCGCCACCAACAAAAACATCACCATCATCACCATCATCACCAACAACAACATCACCATCATCACCATCATCACCAACAACAACATCACCATCATCACCAACAACACCATCATCATTGACAACATCATAATACGATGACAAGATGATGACGATAACAACTGCAACAACAAGTACAACAACAACGGCAATATTTTAAAACAATGATGAATGATGATAGCAGAACTAACGCGTACAAATTGTATAGGTTATGAATAATACATGCGAGTCTAATTTTTGTTTTTTTTTTTGTTTTACCCAATAAACACATGTGACACCATTTTAACGTATTATGCACACGTCTACATCAAAGTGTGTGTGTGTGTGTACGTGTGTTTGTGTGTGTTTACGTGTGTGTGTTTGTGTAGGTTTGTGAAATTGTGCGTGCGTGTGAAACTGTGCGAGTTGAATTTTGTTTAAATATGTCAATGTTGGTTTGTATGTGTGTGTGCGTGTGTTTGTTTTTGTGCGTGTGTGTGTATACATTTGTGTTTTAGCGTATGACTAACTGATCTTATTAGAAGTACATTTATTTGTCCACGTGTCTTATGCATTTATATTTCTATGGATATGTTTGCTTGTTTGTATGTGTGTCTGTTTGTATATTTGCATATATGTAAGTAAGTAAGTTTGTATGTATGTCTGTATGTAGGTTTGTATGTGTGTGCAGGCATGTTTGTATGTATGTGTTTTTATTTTTGTATATCTGTATATACCAATCTTACGGATAAAATGTTAACAATGTAATAATGAGCGTGTTTTCATAGAAAAAATTTTTTACTTGCAGCAGCTGTTGAGATAAGTCTCCTTCGATATGCATATTGTAAAAATTATTAATGATTATCTCGGGTACAAGAGAAGTGCTTCTCTATCGTCAATCAGTGAGTATGATGATAACAGAGACTCAAGTGTTTGTTTGTGTGTGTGTTTGTGTGCGCGCGAGTATGTGTGTGTGTGGGCGTGTGTGCGTGTGTATGTCTGTATGTAAGTTTTTTTCATTATAAATAAAAATTTGTGTCAATTTTTTTCATTGATTGACTACGTGAATACGCTAATAAATATGAATTTATGGGCCAATATTTTTCATTGATTTGTATGTTTTTTAGAGGTTTGTTTGTATGCGTGCGTATATGTATGTGTGTGTGTATGAGTGTGTGTGCGTGTGTTAGTATGCGTTTGGTTATTTTCGGCATAAATATTTGATAAGATACACGTGTTTGTGTCTGGATAAATTGAGTTAGAACCATTACATACACGGTCGTTTCCGAGTGTTTTTGTTTATTTCTTTGTTCGCTTGGTTGTTTGTCTGTGTCTTTACTTGGTTGTTTGTTTTATTGTTTGTTTGCTTGTTCACACGTATGTTTGATTGGCTGTTTGTTTGTTTGTTTTTATGTTTGTTTAAATATTTACAATAATATGCGTGATTTTTTCATTACATATAATTATTGTACATTGTTATACATTGCTATATCAAATTACACAATGTTTTATCTAGTTTTAGAGTGTTATATATTGTTATAGATTGTAATATATTGTAATATAATTTGTGTAATGTTATATAAATATATTCCTCTTTGAACATTTTCATCTGTTCATCTCCATTATTCCTTGCACAATTCAATATCACTTTGTTTATTCTAAGTTTGGAATAATGCTGGCGATTTTAACCTCACTGCCAAACTTTAAATAAATATGTGTAAATGTGTGTGAGTGTGTGTATGTGTGTGTGTGTGTGCAAAAACGTGTATGTATGTGAAAACTTGTTTGTGAGTCTAGACGATTTTTGATACTTCGAACTGATAGTCATAAATAATTCTTATGTAAATTAACAAGTTCTTCTCGATAATTCATCATAATGAAGAATGCATTAAATTAATCCTTAAATAATTATTATACATGCACCACTTATGTACCTCGTTATAGCAAACTTAATGTTTGTTATATTGTGTTCATTTTGAAATACAAAAGTATTTGGTACGTCATAGAGCCAACCAATGGGGTAGGGGCCATCTGGTGGGGAGGTGTCATCTGGTCATGGAGGTCCCCACATATTTTTGCTGAGAGGGTAAAAGTAAAATCAAATTTTAACCAAACACCCAAATTAAGTTTCAAACTGTAAAAAATCGACAACCATTTTGTCAAAACTTAAGCCAAGCATACAAAAATGTGAAATATAATTTATGCGGTATATACCCTGGGACCATATGGTACATGCCACTGAGTCATATGGTATAATACATGGGGTCTTATATGATTTATACCGCGGTACTATACTGTATGTACCTCGTTGTTTAGTATGCTAAAAGTGTTCTTGAAAGTGTAATGAGAGTGATAATAGCGTATGAATTATTCAGGCTGATAGGATGGGTGATCTAGCGTATTATGCCGTCATGCGTTTTTAGAGCTGGTATTGTTTGTATGTGCTATACACAGAGGGTATCAATGATATATGAAATACGCAGCCGACTAATATGTTGTTGTTGTTGTGTTGCTGATGTTTGTTGTTGTTGTTGTTTGTTGTTGTTGTTGTTTGTTGTTGTTTATGTTCGTTGGGTTGTTGATGTTCGTTGTTTTGTGTCGTTGTTGTTGTTGTTTGGTATTGCTGTTTTGTTAGGATGTATTTATATAATGTTGTTGATGATGGTAATGTGAGTAGAGATTTAAATAATGAATAATAAAGAGATATACCTACATCAATCAAAATGATAAGTAATGATATAGAAGATAAATAAGATACACGATGATATTTACGATGAATGGATGGATGATATATAGCGTGATATATAGGATTACAAAGAACGGATAAAAAGTATGAAATAATGAATGAAATCACCGATAACTGTTAAAGATTACAATAGAAAGAAAATGATTTCTATCACAAATGAATGAATGAATGAATGAATGAATGAATGAATGAATGAATGAATGAATGAATGAATGAATGAATGAATGAATGAATGAATGAATGAAGGAAGGAAGGAAGGAAGGAAGGAAGGAAGAAAGGAAGAAAGGAAGGAAGGAAGGAATGAATTAGTGAATGAAAGATAGAGCGAATAACTGACTAAATAAATGAATGAATGAATCATCGAACAATATTTTGCCTTATGTGCATTGAACTTCAGAAATGATGAACGATCGACTGAATGAGCGAATTAATAAACAGGCGAACAATTGAAAATATAAATAGACGAATGAATGAATGAATGAATGAATGAATGAATGAATGAATGAATGAATGAATGAATGAATGAATGAATGAATGAATGAATGAATGAATGAATGAATGAATGAATGAACAAACGAATGAATGAATGAACGAACGAGCAAATGAAAAAACGAATGAATGAACGAATGAATGAACGAATGGAAGGACGTTTGTTAATCAACTAAATAACTTAACAGGTAATGGAATGAACATAATAACATACCAACTTTACATTTATCAATTTGATCGTAAAAATCATCCAATTCCTTAAAATCCAAAATATTTTCAAACAGTTCTATTACGACAATGTAATAGAATTTCGTGAAAAAGATGTTTTATAAAATAATAATAATAATACTCAAGTAATTTTATAAAGAACGTTTGAACGTTTAAAATTATTAAACTAAAAGTATAAATAATAAAAAATAAAATAGATAACGCTATAATTAATAATATTACTTCTATACATACCCTAAACTATTTATGTAACACATCAACAATAACATTATAATGCTTCGTTAACCCTTAACAAAAATCTTATATGTTTGTGTCTGCCCTTTTTATTGTCCTTACAAAATTATTTGTTAGTATGGTATAGACACATGTATGTATATTGTATACGTGTTAAGTATTTACGCGAGTTTGTGTGTGTTTGTATCCGTGTGCGTGTATGTGTTCTTGTACGTGAGTGTTTGTATGTAAGTGTGCGAGTGTGTGTTTGTATGTAAGTGTGTGTTTGCATGTAAATGTGTGTGTGTGTGTTTTTATATGTGTCTGTTTAATTCAATTATATGTACACATGAACAAGTGGAATAAACTATGCTATGCATGTAACATCAAAAGAGAGTCAATAAAAATTGATTTTCAGGTTTTAATTAAATAAATTATGTAAATAAAAAGAAATAATAAACAACAATAATATTAATAACAATAACTATAATAATATTAACAACAACAATAATAATAACAACAATAATAATAAAACTAAATAATAAAAATATATAAACATCACAGAAACGCTCTTACCAGCTATATTTAACAATCTTAACCAAATCCAAATAAAACCAATTAATGTAATATAAAATTCGATTATATTTTAATCAATATCCCATCATCATTATCAGTAAAAACATAAATGACATAATTATTTCGATATAATTAATACTAATTAATATTAATTTTTATTATTTAAAATTTATTTCATACTAATACTTTTTTTGTTAGCATTAACCAGGGCTTATTTCACATCAAAACTAATTATGCTGCTTTAATTTAAAGGTGTTAAGCTCTGGTTTTACCAATACAGGTGCAAAAAGCTTTCGTGCAATGCCATTGGTCGGCTAATGATCCATTGTGATGCTTGTATTATTGTTATTTTTGTTATTAACATAAAATTTTATTGAACATATAAATATATACATATATATTACTCATTTAAACATAAACATACTAAAATTATATTATATGATAGTTTATGATTAAAATTATTATTTTGTTATTGATATTTTTATGAAGCTGTATTTAAAGATTTGTTTTCATAAAAATAAAATAAAAGTTTTTGGTATTTGTGCATTTGTGTAATATAATAAGAGAAATGACGAGAATGATAATAGCAGCAGAAATAAATAATAATAATAATACAATATGATATTGATAAAAATTATGGTTATTATTGTTATGTTTTATTATTTTTTGAATTGTTTATTAAATATTTGAGACCATTTGTTAATTTAGTAACTTGATTACATGTTCCACACTGACAATTAGTGAACATTACTTGAAAATTTCAATTAATTTTTAAGTTATTTTAATTTGTATTTTTAAAACAATTACTGTCAATCAATTTTTCTTTCAACATAAATGTTCTTCAATTGACTTTCCTATAGGAATTGAAATACCAAACTTTTTACTTTACCACATTGTTAAATCTGGCTTACTTTTAAACTAACACAAAATATTTATCTATGCTGTTAAGGTCGTCTAACTTGTGATCAAGTTAACATTTAAAGTCAATTTTTATGACAAAATGGCAGTTTTGTTAAAGATTTGAAGTATTTTCACGTTAAATAGATAGTTTAAAATTTTTTAGTGGAATTAAGTTTGTTTTTTACTTTTTATTTTTGGAGAAAATTTAGTTTGCTTTATTATCGCTCATCTTCACAATTATTTTTAAAAGTTTTTTACATCACAAAACTTAAAAAAATGGAAAAGGAAGGTGCGGGAGAAAGTAGTCAAAATGTCGATTTTTCGAGTGTCAAAGTAATTCCTAATTTATTCATTTTTATGATTTCTAGATGTAGTTCTAATAAAAATCACTCAATTTAGAGTTTTAAATAAAAAATCATATGAATTAGACTATTAGAGATTAGTAGATTAAACTACCGGCCCGTTTTGTTATTAAAAATATGTTCTCAAATTCAAATAGGCTAATGTCAAAAGAATTAAAGTGAATGGCTTGGGTAGGACAAAGAATGACATTGTCAGGCATCACATCAAACCCTTGTTCGCCGCTACTACATTTGAAGAAGTATGAACAAATTGAATTTTTTTTTTTACAAAAAGACACTTTTTAGTTTAGAATACTCTGATTATATAAACACTTATTCAGTTTGGGATCTCAGTGCATTTGAATCAAGTCACTGCAAAATAGGATCAGACACCTCTAACCATTATACCATCATGTCATCCACTTATAAAAGTGTATATACCCAATACATGAATTTTATTTTGATCTACTGCAGATGATTAGTGCTATCAATCTTTCGAAAAATAAATTTGAGCAGCTGGGTCTGTTCAAAAACATGAAAATCTCTATAGATGTCAGTAAAAGTAAGTTACTTGATTAAAATATTTTTCCTATTATAATTTTTCCTATTTATTTAAATTTTTTTTCTCTCAAATAAAAACAAAATATTTACCTTTGTTAGTGAATAAATTATGTTAATTAATGATCAAGATAGCCCTGAACTTCCAAATGCGTATGACATCGCATACAAAGTTAAAGAGCAAAGTTATCTTACTGGAGGTCTTAGTACAATGATTGGGACTAACGAAGGTACTATGGTTAGTTTTGCTAGTGTTGTTAGTATTTGTGTGTATGTGTGTTTGTTTGTTTGTATGTATGTAGTTGTGTGTGTTTGTTTGTTTGCATGTTTGTTTGAATGTTTGTATGTATACGTGTATATATCTTTCAGGTTGGTAGTTTAAAGCTAGAGAATGTTTGGGGCCGGGGTGAGAAGGTCGCGACAGAGTTCACGTATGGGTCGGCTAATGCCATTGGTGCTAACTTATATCTCATCAAACCAATGTTCTTTGAGCCACATTTGCTGTTAGTTTTGTTGTTTGATCAACTGATTTGTTGGTTGTTAGATTAATTCATTGGTTGGTTTATTGATTGATCAAAATATTTGGTTTTTATATTTATATATTCATTCATTTATTCATTCATTCATTCATTCATTCATTTATTCATTCATTAATTAATTCATTCATTCATTCATGCATTCATTCAATCAATCATTCATTCATTCATTTTTTCTTAAATTGTTTACACATTAGATGAATATGCCTGTATGTATTTAATTTATATATATTTTCATTTTTTTATTCATTTATCCATTCACTCATTTAATTATTCATTATTTATTCATTCATTCATTCATTCATTCATTCATTCATTCATTCATTCATTTCACTCACTTATTTGCATGCATCAACATTCACATTCAGATTGAGGTTCTCAGTCTTTCAGACGAGTGGGGAATTTCCATGGAGTAGCTACAAGGAGACAGACAGGGGTCTGGCTGTTGATTATACTGTGAGTTAGCTGGTGTGTGTGTGTTTGTGTGTGTGTGTGTGTGTGTGTGTGTGAGATAGGTGTGTAGAGGTGGGTCTAGTCGGAGGTGTGTGGCGTGAGTTTGCTGACTTTTGCGGTGTGTGTGTCAGGTGAGCAAGTTGGTTGTTTGGTGTATCGTGTGAAGTTTTTTATTGTTTAGTGTAAGGCTTTTTTCTCAATCAATCAATCAATCAATCAATCAGTCAGTCAATCAATCAATATCGGTCAGTCAATCAATAAATAAATCAATCAATCAGCTAACTAATTAGTTAAATAATTTGTTCCTAAAATTAGTTTTCCAACTTCTCTAACTTAATTAATTAATTAATTTATTCCTAAAATTAGTTCTCCAACTTCTTGGGCAGCCACACATTGAGGTGGGAGGGGATTTGGAGGGAGCTGCAGGCTCTTTCCAGTTCAACTGCGTTCGCTATCCGAGAAGAATCAGGTCACAGTTTGAAATCTAGTTTAAAAGTAGGTCAAGGTCGTCGTCGTCTTTTGTTGACCATTGTTGTTGTTAAGGATGTTGCTTTTTGTATTTTTTGTTTCTTTGGTTGAGAAAGCCCGTCGTTGCTGCTCTGTTGTTGTAGTATAATAATATTAATAATGGTACTAATAATAATAATTATTATTATAACAACAACAATAATAATAATAATAATATAATAATTATGACGTTAAAATAATTACTTATCCAGTATACATGGTGTGCAGACACAAGAGACAGCAAGGTGCTACCAACATTTGGACAACTTTATAAATTTAGTACCGTCAGTATTATTATTATTATTGTTGTTATTTTCGTTTCTTATTATTATTTGTAATTTTTATTATTTTATTATATCTTTGTTGTGATGTATATTATTATTATTATTATTGTTATTTATTTGTAATTATAATTATGTATGTAGTTGTTGTGGTTGGAATTGTGGTAATCTTCCCATCTGTTCAAAACCTGGTTCTCTTTTATTGTTTTTATGTTTAATTTTATTTAATTATTTTTTATTTCATTCTCATTCATTTCTCTTTTTTTCCTCTTCTTCTTCAAAAAAATCAGGAGTTAGGCGGCTTGGGAGGGGATGTTAAATTCAGCAAGCACGAGGCTGAGTTTCAGCTCAACCAGCCACTCCCACTTGATTCTGTGAGGTTTCATTTGTTCGTCTGATTAATTAATTTCTTTTTTAATAACATTGTATTAGCTTATTATTTAATTGATTAATTAATTATTAATTAATTAATTAGCCAGGTGATTACAACTTTTTGAATTGGCCGTTTAATTTAGTGTTAAGTCTGTAGATTCAATGTAGGTAATAAATAAATCAAATAAGAGTGGGCATAGTTTTTTTAGTGTTCACTTGGGCTTAGTAATGAATTTTAGTAAGTAAGATGTATGTGGTTGGGGGAAGGTTTTTATAAATACTAATTCACCGAGTTGAAGTTTTTGATTTTCTTTGTGTTGCAGACGTTACAGTTTACTCTTTCAGGAGGCGTGGCCAGTCAGGACCTGACCATACACGACCGATTTTTTCTCGGTGGTCCACTCACGTTGAGAGGGTTTAACTTCAAGGGCGTAGGTCCAAGGATCGATGGTTGGTTGGTTGGTTGGTTGGTTGGCTGGCTGGTTGGCTGTTTGTGTGTTTGTCTGTCTGTCTTCATATGATATGCAGTGCATGGGTGTTTCAATCGTTTTCATGTTTGGTTTGTACTGTTTGAAATTTTCATTTGTTTCAATTTTGAAAAGTTAATTATATAGTTCAGTATTCGATTCATTCAGGATGCTCTCTTGGATCAAATATTTTTTGGTGCAGTGGCTTGCACCTCTACACCCCCCTCCCATTCAGACCAGGCAAGGGTGGATTCGGGGAAAATTTTAGAACCCACTTTTTCATAAACGCTGGCAACTTAGCTTCATTCAACCGAGGTTACTAGTCAGTTATATGATGTTCCGTGTAGGCAGTAGAGCACGTTCACATTATTTAAATCATAGTAACTTTATTTTCACATCAATTCATCTAAACACTCACGACACACACACACGAACATAAACACACACACACACGAACATACACACACACACACGAACATACACACACACAAACATACACACACACACGCAATTTAAAACTATTCCTTCACTCACATAGAACTCTCTCTTAAGAACAACATCCAAGAGTTAATTGAAGGATATAGACTGAGTTATGGCTTGGGGATCGTTATTAAGTTGGGAGGCATAGCAAGAGTTGAGGCAAATTACTGCATACCATTGAAAGCCCAGGAAAATGATAGGTTGACATTTTTGTTTTATCTTTTTCCAATTTATATTTATTAATTATTATACTTCTTAATTTTCTTAATTTCTTAAATTATTTCTTTTTATTGTTAATTGTTTTCAATATATGATCAGATCGGGAATAAAAGAGTTTTCAGTATTTGTATATTGCTGTTTGATGTATGTGAAAATAATACTTGTTTCAACCGTATTTTTATGTGTATAATGTAAAGTAGTAAGTATTATAAATGAATAATTACATGGCTAATGATACTACCTGAGGTCTATTTCTATTTATTTCCAGTATTCCATTTGATATTCTGCAAAACTAAATTTATCACTAATTAATGAATATTCAACAGTATAAACCCGGGACTGCAATTAGGCATTGGGGTCTCGTTCTTATGACGTCAACAACTTGGAAATCAAAGACGCTAAATAGAAATTCTCTTACGCACATACACGCGGGCGCACAAATGTACAAACATTCTTATATATGTATGATTTATAATTAGGTTTTCTTGTTATATATTTATGCCTATTTTCTTCTGTAAATAGTTTAACGTTAAATGGTTCCAGTACTTAATGAAATTATAATTATTTAATTAATTAATTAATTAATCACATCATGATATAGAAATGAATATTGTACTTTATTCAATATCTCGTGATCATGTGGATTTTGTTGAGATGATTTAATGGAACAATTTGTTATTATTTAGGATGAAATGTTTGTATTTTTTAACATTAGTGCAATTATTTCGATGACTCCAAATATCGTTTATGCAGTAAATGTTTATAATCCAATATTGAATAAAATAATCTTTCACATGTTTATTTTACTTTTTTGAAAATGCCACTTTCGTCATCTTCAACCGGAAAATGATCGTCGTCATCACTTTCTTCTGACGGACCGACGTAATCAAAATCTCCGCGGTCTCGAGCTCTAATCAGTTCGTCGTTGTCGTCGATGACGTCATATGGTGGGTGGATTTTCATGTATCTGTCAGTCCTCCTCGTCCTGCTGTACACCCAGTGAACCAACACAGCCATCGATACGAAAACGCCCAAAACTAGCACAAACACCAGACTTCTGTTCATCACTGTACTGAGTAACTGGAGCCTGGTTGCCAACATGGCCAGCGTCATGCCCAAGAAACAACCAATCAAGAGAAAGGCGTAAAATGTATTCTTTTCTACGATCTTTCTTTCGGCCAGTTTACTTTCAGCAACTTTCTTCAACTTCATGAATTCTCTGCGGTGATCTCTGTTGCAGCTTAAAATACCAAATTCGAGAACTTTAATTTCTTCTTCATATATTTCGGCCAGGCGGTATATTTCTGCCAGAAGTTTGTAGCCGAGTGGTGAGGACGGATTGATGTCGTTGATGATTTTTCTGGCGTCTTCGATGGCGTAGAAATAATGCTTGAGTTTCATGAAGGCTCTGCATCTTTCCGCGTAATTCGATGCATCCTTTGGACTGGCTTTAATTTTTTCGTAACATTCTAGAAGGAATTCAATGTTTCCATCGCCTTCTTCGGTCATTTTAATGATAAATGTTGAATTTATACCCAAAAAGCAAAAAACAATTTTATTGCTACAAATTAAATTCGAATTTGCCAACACGGTTCTATATAAATGACGTCATCGTCATAGTATAAAGACAAAATCGGAAAACATTAATTACTGATTGCTATGATGACAAGAAAGCGTTTTTGAAAAGATTTATTTTAATGTTATTAAAAATCAGGTCGAATACTTGAAGATGTCATGAAGCTTATCAATTTTAATGAAATTCAAATTTTTACCTGATATTTATAACATCCATTCACTTTTCAATTTTTTTACAAAAGTGAACTTTGTTAGTAATTAAATTTTTCGAAATGTTTAACTTAAACTTTAAGTTAAGTAAATGCATTTCTTTTTCTGTTTTATGATATATGACACTAAATATTTTTTAATTTTTCAAGAAGTGCATCTGAAATGGAATTCATCACGAATCCCCAACACTGGAACAGAAACAAAAAACTGAAGAACTCCAGCTTGCTCTCCATAGCTTGTTGGAAAAAAATCATCTCTAATAAATTCTCAATTGTCATCTTTCTAATTGTTTTGTCCGTTATTTGCTACGTCTCTTATCATTTTGTTTCAAAATCTGGTGAGCCACCGCTCGGAAGAGATGTGGTAACAGAGTTCAACAATGAGGTCAAGTTGTCTCCAGTTCCTGACAACATTTTGAAGGCAGCTGAATCAGTTCGGATTTCTGACAGAATGCTCAAGGTCTACGTCGACAACAAGGTGACATTTTTCATCTTCAGCTTAGTTATGTATTGTTTTTAACTATTTTTAAATCATTCTTTTATGTTTTATAATAATAAATAATACAATAATAATTCATTATTAAGACTAACCATTTTTAACTTTTAACATTAATTATAATTTATATGTTTTGTATATGTTACATTTCAGCACTTAGTGATTAAAGCTCTGGAAGCAAAACCTTCTATCAAATATGATTTTGTATACTTCTTCCTTCACGGGGCTGCATTTACATCTCAAATCTGGAAGACATTGGGAACATTACAATTGGTGGCTGCATTTGGTCAGTTAGCAATCGCCATTGACCTTCCAGGTTATCATTTTGAGGTGCTTCAATAAGGTTGCATTTAATAAAAGCACTGTTTTATCTCACAGTTAACATAAATTTTTTCATAAGTGTGGCAATCTCTTAAAACAAATTTCAATGAAAAAATTGATTACAAAAAGGGTGGGGCCACAGCACAAACAGTCGACTGACATCAGAAGAATCTCGAAAAAACTTTCTCACCCTCCTGTTTAATGAATTAAACATCACAAAACCGATCCTCATCACCCCATCTATGAGTGGGGTATATTCCATGCCCTTCATTATGGAGCCACAATCTGAAACATGCAAGGAGAGAATCAATGGACTAATTGCTCTTGCTCCGACTGCCACCAATGTCTACAGCCATGCTCAGTTTCACAGATGCGATGTAAGGATATAAAAAATTATAATTTTTTCTTTTATTTTTTATAGTTTGTTTTGGAAAGTTTTTCCAATGTTTTATTAACCAATTTTTAAGTTTTGTCATCATTTTAATATGTTGTTTCACACTGTGGAACTCAAAACTAAATTTATACTTTCAGGCAAAAACGTACATTGTGATTGGCGAAAATGACAAAAACATAGGCCTATTTGCCCTGGCTAACTTGAAAAATATGCCAAATCGTAAAATTTTCATCATGAGAAATTCATCTCATGCCTGCTACAAAGATCAACCGACATTTTGGAACGAAATAATTTATCATTACAACAAAGAAATAATTAAACGAGTGGATGACAGTTCACACTTTTGAAAAGATATTTGCTTTATTTTTCATTTTTTTTCACTCTTTGTTTAAGTTTAAATTTCATTGTTTGTTATATTTACTGCTATATATTCAGGCGTTTTAAATGTTTCCAAGAAAAATATTCTGAAACGAAATGTAATAAAGAAACAGTTATGAAATTCGACATTTGTAACTGTTGTTTCTTTTAAATAAAAAATTTATTTCAAACGGTCATACGTTTGTCTCACAATAGTCGTTAAACGCATTATCTCTACGTATTTTATTTGAATTCGTTGAAATATTTGAAGTAAATTTTCTAGGCGTGTTGGAAGAAGCCGATGATTTGTTCAAATTTTCCGTAATTTCTGTAATCGTTGCAGCGTCGATTATTATAATTTCAGATGCTTTTTCTAAATTTTCAAACAAAATATCATTTTGCTTGGCTGTCGATAATTTTTTCATTTTCTTCTTTTTTCTTTTTGTCAATCTTTTCCTTGGACCGCGAACGCTCCTTCTGAAATCTCTCAATATGGATGAGAGTAGAATTATTTCTGAGACTTTCGTCAGAAAATAAAACGAAGCTATTGCTAGTAAAGTTTTAATGATGGTTGAGATCATCCTCTTTGAAGTTCTCAGAAGTTTTATGAAGAATTCGTAACAACTAGAGGCGCCTGTGATGATATCTGAAAAAATATTATTAACGAAAATGCCTTGAAATGATTCATCGTGAAATACATTTAAAATTTGAAATATGGCTAGCACGACATAAGACATTCCTAAACTTGTTTCATCTAATCTTCATAATATATTTTACTCTATTTTTCAATAAAATTGTTCAAAAATTACATCAAAAAACATCTCTTAACATATTTTCATCTAACTTCCAAAACAATTTATTCAATTTTCCGAAAGTATACCACAAAATAAAATAAAAAAAAGAACTCATTCATTCGAGTAGGGTAGCAGTACATCTAGCATCTAGACTCCTACCGTTTCTAGCAGCGACGTTATCTGGTCTATGAAATTTATTTCTACTCTCCAGAGCACATGGCAGTAAATGATGCATGGCTCCCACATCGTTGCTAGGACCTGCCGTCGAGAATGATTATTTTAGAATTAGATGTATGCCTTTTTTCCCTATTTTGGAGTTGTATGTATGTAATTTTTTTTCAATTTTAGAATTTTATGTAGGCCATGTCGTGTTTCTCTGTTTTCAAAATTGTAAGTACGTCTGTGCTTTTCAGTTTTATTGTTCTCCTATTCGCTTGTTTCTTACGTCTGTTTTGTTTTTATTACTTCATGTATTGTAGTGATACGTAATGCAAGGTTGTGTAATGTTATGTGATGTATTTTAATGTAATATGCTGTAGTGTTTTGTGATGTATTGAAATGTAATGCAGAGATGCGAGCGTGCCTTTTGGCGTTCGTATTAATGCACGCCTGCTTGCTTTCTAGTATGAATAGTCAGATAAAACTCAACCATCATTTAAACTAGGCCTCACAAGATACAACAAAATTAACTTTAAACATTTACATAAAACACAAAAATATGGCCTTAATAAGCAAACGCAAAGAACAAAGAGCAGTAAAATCTGATGTGACAAATGTGAAAAAATATATTTGATTGCATACATCTGCCAAAACAACAAACAACACAACAGCGACAATAACAAAACAACAGGCGCAAAACAGCAAATCATAATATTGCACTTTGGTTTTTCAGCAGCAGCAAGTAGGACCAAATAAATTTCAAGTCAGTTCTTTCATCTGAGATTGATGAAATTTGATCGGGCCCGGGAGATAGATGCTCCTTCGTATTGAACGTTCTCCATACAAATCCAAACTCATCTTCGACTAGAAACACGCTGTCGTCAGCTAGTGAAATATAAATCAAACGTTCTACAGTTTGGTGCAAGCTATAGAGCAGCATAGATGTCCCACTGATGAGGACAACGAATGTAAAGAGGTTGGAATTTCTCTCCAGTCCCATCACTGCACGACTCAGAAGGGAGGCGCGGTTAATTCTCTTCTGTCTGCTGTTGATGTATTTGTGTGGCGGTTTCAAGGCTTTTAACAATTTCTTAACTTCGTTTGTATCAACAATTTTTGCATGTTCGCTGTTTACTGTTGATCGATAATTTTGGCAAGTTTCGCTTGCTGAATTAATTTTACGTGCTTCACGGTTTGGCTGGCTTTCATTTTCAACATTCTTTGAATGAACATTTTGTTGATATTTTGTTTGATGTTGGTGTTGATGTGTTTGTTGATGTTGCAATTGATGTTGTTGATGTGCTTGTGGCTGATGTGTTTGTGGTTGATGTGTTTGTGGCTGATGTGTTTGTGGCTGATGTGTTTGTGGCTGATGTGTTTGTGGTTGATGTGTTTGTGGCTGAGGTGTTTGTGGCTGATGCGGTCGTCGATGTTGTGTCGGTTGACGATCTCGACGTACGATGTCGTTGGACGAGCAATTATTATTTCTCTGCAGTAACCGCTCGCTAGAGACGTTCAAAGATCGGCTGGGGAGGTCATTATTTTGTGGCGTCGACGATGAGCCAGGCCGATTATTACTTCTGGATGATGATGCCTGGCTCAAATTGAAAATAAAAAACAAGCGTTGCATGCGGAAAATGAAGAGCAAAACATCTATAATTACAAAGATTGGCTGCAGCGTGCTCGAAAAGTTTTCTAATTTGCAATAATCGTAGTCCTCTTCGCCCTCTTCATTCGTTGCGTCTGCGTTTTTCTCATTCTTTCTCGAAATGTTAAGAGGATGATGTTCGTAGAAATTAACTTTTGCTTTTATTTCCTTCGTCAAGAATTGATTCTGTTTTTTGGAGAAGTGTGAACGGAAGGAATGTCGAGGTGTTTGAGGGTTGATGGATGGGTTCAAGGACGTTTTAATAGCTTGTTCAGCGCATGGGTTGACAGTTGTCCTCTTGGCCAACTCAATCTTTTGCACTTCTGCTTCTAACCTTTGAAACAATTTATAATCTGAATATTTTAAAATACTGTTCAAAAATTATGTCTTACATAAAACTGTTTACAATCAATCGAATTTCATGTTTTTTAGCGGATTTGTTTTAAAAAATATGCGAAAATAAAAAATATAGTCATTTACTTACCAGTTATGAAGCATCCATTTTGAAGTTTTTAACAAAACTGCTATCTTCTGTAAATCAACAAATTTCTTATTTTTCAACTTCCCATGCTTCATGAACCACCTCTTCAGCCAATAATTTTCTGACCACCGCCTGTGACCCTTCGCAAGTTGTTTCTTAGCGGTTCCATCAAAAACATCCACAACAGCATCATGTGACGCCGTTGAAATTCTTCCACGAATCATTTCAGTGTCTGGCACAAAACTATTCATTGAGATTCTGAATGCATTTGAAGGCTGCATTGTCTCGTAAAGACCATCAAATGATTTCATCGTCTGTTCACTTGCAAACTTCATCACATCCATTAGATATGCCTCGCACGCTAACTTCGTCTTGAAAAATTTTCTCCATTTACTTTTTAGCCGGCGTGGTTTTAAGCTGGATGCGTGATTGAATTTCATTTTTGCATAACTTTCATTATCTATTTCCAATTTTTCACGGGTTCTCTCTTTTGAGTAATCCCGATTTTCTTCCTGCATACCGAACGAATAATACGATCTCTCGAGATTCGGAACTCGCTGCGGAATACGTTCGGATAGCGATGTAACATCCCTACCGTGATTCACAATCAGCATCAGTTGGAAGAAGAAAATCAAACTCGTTAAGGCGAAGAAGAAGCTAGAAAAAATTTTCAGAGTTACATACATGACGATAACTGCTCTGCCCCAGAGTATTGGAGTTTCTTCAAGTTTCTTCGGGCAGACTCGTTCGCTAGAGTAATTATCGGTTCGGTAATCGCTAATAATAAAATCTAATTTATCTACAGTGCCGTAAGGAACATAAAGTTTGCTCGAAAACGGTCGATTGATCAATTTAAGTGGTCGGCTGGTTGATGTTGTTGATGTTGTTGATGTTGTTGATGTCAGTGATGGTGTGGTTGTTGTCGATGGGGCTGTCGATTCAGATATATTGTTGTCATTGCTGTGGTCGCAATTATGTTTACTGTCGTCGTTTTTGTAGCTGCTGTGGCAGTTGTTGTAGCCGTGGTGTATATTTTTGTGTGAGTGTTTAACGAAGAAGTAAACCGTGAGCGTGTGCAGTGTTAAGGCGCTGAGGATAATAAGGCAGGCTGGTGCGACGTGATATGCCAGTGTCTGAAAAGATCCCGTGTTCTCTATGGCCACCATTGATGAATGAATGTTGTTGTTGTTGTTGTAATTTATGTTGTTGTTGTTGTTGTTGTTGATGATGTCATAGTTGTTGTTGATAGCGTTGATGTTTCGTTGGTTATATATAACATTGTTTCTGTTGTCTGCATTCGATGTAACGATTTCGTTGTCGTTTATGTTGCGGTTATAAATGTTACTGATGTCATTGTTGTTTTTGTTTTTGATTTCATTACTTCTGTCACCGCTTATCTGCCAATCAAAATAGACTCCGCCTTCTAATTGTTTCCCTGAAATTTTTGACTCCGACTGCGAGGCTATTATGTTTCTCGTTTCGTTTAACTTTCCGATATCAAAACCGAGTTCGTTTCTACCAATACCGACAAAACTTCTATCACCATCATCATCTTCTTCATCACCATTGTAATCATCATTGTAATCATCACCAGTATCAAAGTAATCATTCATCTCATAATCATTAACATCAACACCTCTGACGTCATCGTTGTGGTTACCGTCATCACCATTCAAAGTGTCATCTTCATAATCCTTTCCACCACCATTACCGACAAAGACACAAGATAAATACGAAACGAATTCGGTATTCGTAACATCGGTTAAAACGAGTTTGAATACTTTGTGCGGTTTCGAGATAGTTTTGGGATAGGAGATGATGAAGGTGATGTTGAAGACTGGCGGGCAGTTTAAGAGGACGTCAGCGTCCAGTATTTGCTCTTCATTGGTTAGATCAAAAATTGTAATCTTCATGTAAGCCGGACAGTTTGTCATGCGGCCTGTGCATGTGAATGTGTGTGTGAATGTGTGTGTGTATGTGTGTGTGAATGTGTGTGTGTAAATGTGTGTGTGAAGGTGTGTGTGAATGTGTGTGTATGTGTGTGTGTGAATGTATGTGTGAATGTGTGAATGTGTGTGTGAATGTGTGTGAGTGTGTGTGTGAAAGTGTGTGAATGTGTGTGAGAATGTGTGTGTGTGAATGTGTGTGTGAAGGTGTGTAAATGTATGTGAATGTGTGTAAGAACGAGTTTATGTTTTTTGTATATGTTTATGTATATGTGTGTTTGTTTGAATCTTTTTGTTTGTAGGAGTAGATGCACATTCAGCTGTACACACCCACATATGCATTCGAAAGATATAGACATACACACATACAATATAAACACATACAAAAACATATACACACAAACATAACATACACACAAATACAAGCACATACAGACACTTACAAACAACTGCAAACAAACCTGATACAACAATGTTGACGAACTTTCTATCGCGAGAAATGTGAAGAACGGTTTGGATGTAATGGCTCAAGAATGTTGATACTTTGTAGTTGTTGTTGGCTGTCTTTTCTAATTGAAACCACCATTTTAATGCGGATCGGTTTTCTTTGTGCGTGTGTGTGTGTGTGTGTGTGTTTGTTTGTTTGTATGTATGTGTATGTGTGTGTGTTTGAATGTGTGTTTGTGTGTTTGTGTTCGTGCGCGTAAAAATTCGTGTACGTGTGTTTGTATGTACGTGTTTGCCTACTGTTTGCACATGTTCATAAACACATACATACAAACTCTTTCTTACAATCATACATACAAACAAATGTAAAGATATACACATACACATACATACAAACAAATAAAATACATTTTATAAAAGTATGAAAAATTAACTTTTTTTTATAAAATTTAGTGCAATGGATTGAAAAACAAAAAAAAACACAGAAACAAAAAAGAGAAAAAAATGATTGACATTCGTCACTTAGTTTCACATCAACGCTCGCATTTTTTAACAAAATTACTGTTGCTACTTACGATGACGATGCTGAAATGCTACTAATACTAATACAAAGAACAATGGCATTACTACTACAACTACTACTGCTGCTGCCACTACTGCTACTACTACTACTACTACTACTACACTACTACTACTACTACTACTACACTACTACTACTACACTTCTACTACTACTACTACTACTACTACTACTACTGCTGCTGCCACTACTACCACTACTACTACTATTACTACTACTGCTGCTGCTGCTGAATTTGCTGCTACTACTGTTACTACTACTGTTACTAAGTACACCACAGCTAAAGTTTTGACAAATTGTAATATTTAGGATGATAATTTTAATAAATAAAAAAAAAAATGAATCAACATTGGATTTTTTTTAAAGAACCAAGTTCATCAAAAAACAATTTTTTAACACCTAAATAAAGTCTGCACTAAAATAAATATTTCAGCTGAAAAAGTTATAATATACAGAAAATAAAACAAATTAAGACTGTTGCTACTGCTACTACAATTACTACTACTAATACAACTGCTACTACTACTACTACTACTACTCCTACTACTACTTCTGCTACTGCTACTACTACTACCCCTACTATTACTACATTATTTATAAATATACCACTACTACTATAAAACTCGAAAAAATGAAACCTAAGTATTATAGAGAAGAGACCGTCGCCATTACTAATGTTATGAAATGCCATCTTTTAACGTGCTTATATTTTTCCCGCCGTTTTTATAATATGCCAGAAGTTAATTTTATTACGCACACACAGAAAGGAAGAAAGAGAAAGATAGAAGGAAAAAATGGAGAAAAAGAGAGAAGAGTAAATAGAAGAAAAAAATGGAAAGAGAGAGAGAGAGAAGAGTGAATAGAAGAAAAAAATGGAAAGAGAGAGAAAGAAGAGTGAATAGAAGAAAAACATAGAAAGAGAGAGAGAGAGAGAGTGGAGTGAATAGAAGAAAAAGATAAAGAGAGAGAGAGAGAGAAAAGTGAATAGAAGAAAAAAATGAAAAGAGAGAGAGAGAGAGAGAGGAGTGAATAGAAGAAAAATATGGAGAGAGAGAGAAAGAGAGAGAAAGGAGTAAATAGAAGAAAAAGATGGAGAGAAAGAGAGAGAGAGAAGAGTGAATAAAAGAAAAAGATGGAGAGAGAGAGAGAGAGAGAGAAAACATTAAATAGAAGAAAAAGATGGAAAGAAAGAGAGTGAGAGAGAGAGTAGGAAAAACATATTTGTAAAAAAAGGCAAAGCGAATGGTGACAGATATTTGGTAAAAAAGACGAATCGAGAAATGAATGAATAAAAAGTAAATTAAAAATTGAATAATTAACATCATAATAGAGAAATAGGTGCAGTCAAGAGTAATCCAAAGAAAAAATAACAGTAAAAATAAAAAGTAGAAGAGAAGAAGAATAAAAAAACGATGAAATAACATACCGGGAAGGGAGAATTTCAAAAACGGAAGTCCCTTGTTACTGGTCACGTGATATTCAAATCCGCCATCTTGAAGTCTTTTGTTTATTGTCACATTCAGAATCTTTTTGTTGCTGTTGTTGTTGTTGGGTTTTGTACTTTTGTTAATGTCATTTATGTTGTTGATGTTTGGTTCGGTGATGTTGTTGATTTCGTTGTTAATGAGAATTTCATCTACTGGCTGAAATCTAGAATGATGTATTTTAATATTTCAATTATGCCGTTAATGTTTTTAACTTGAACCGCAAGAATACTAAAAAAGTAACAACAACATCTACAACAACAACTAAAACAACAACAACATAAACATCAACAATAACAACAACAATATCATTTTCAACAACATCATCGTAAACAACAAACAATAATTCAACCGACCAAAGATAATAAATTAACAGCTAAATTATTCATTGGAAAAGACTAACTAATCAGTTTTATTGGCCAAGTCAGAAAAAAATGTCAAAAATTAAACTTTTTTATATAGCTATCCAAAAATCAACATCCAACCAGCCAACCAACCAACCAGCCAACCAACCAACCAGCCAGCCAGCCAACCAACCAATCAACTTACCAACCAACCAACCAACCTGTTGATATCTTTATAACATGCACTTCTACTACTTGCCCATGTTGCAGTATTGTGTAGGAATGGCTGGCGGAATGTAGTCAGTAGTGAATAAACGTTATCTGATAACTTGTATATTTTAAATTCTTGTTTGTGTTGATTTTGTTGTTGTTGTTGATGTTTTTGTTGTTGTTGATGTTTTTGTTGATGTTTTTGGTGTTGTTTATGCTGGTGGTATTGTTGAGTTTTGTTGGTGTAATGTTTTTGTTCTTGATTGATAATTTGTTGATGTTTTTTATGTTGATGATGAGAATTTTGTTGTTGTTGTTGATGTTGTTGTTGATGATGATGTTGTTGATGTTGTCGTTGGTAGTATTTGTTATATAGTATTTCTTGAAGATGTTTCTGGTACGTTTGTTGTTGTTTTTGTTGCAAGTATGTCAGTTGTGTTGTCGACGGATGTTGTTGTTGTTGGTAGAGAATACGGTGATGTTGTTGACTGGACAACAAACTTTGCTTATGAGTTTGTTGTTGTAGTGTATATCGTTTCTCTTGTTGTTGATGATGTTGTTGTTGTTGATGTTGTTGTACATACTGTACATGTTGTTGTTGTTGATGATGTTTTTGATGATGTTGTTGTTGATGTTGTTGTACATATTGTACAAGTTGTTGTCGTTGATGTTGATGTTGTTGCTTATCTGCGTTATACTCCATTGAGTCGAAGCGATATGTCCAGGCATCTGCAATAACATAATAATTAATATCTATGTTACTATTGTCATTGTTGTTGTTACTCTTGTTGTTATTGTGTTATTTTTATAATTATTAATAATATTATTATTAATAATGTTATTATTAATAATATTATTGTTAATAATATTATTCTTATTATTAATATTATTATTATTACTAGTAGTAGTAGTAGTAGTAGTAGTAGTAGTAGTAGTAGTAGTAGTAGTAGTAGTAGTAGTAGTAGTAGTAGTAGTAGTAGTAGTAGTAGTAGTAGTAGTAGTAGTAGTAGTAGTAGTAGTATAATTATAAATATTGTTATTATAATGGTTTTATGATAAAATGATGGTTTTATGATAAATTTTTTATGATTTTTTGAAAAATAGTTTTGAATCGACAAAGGATAAATTGGAATCTTCAAATTTTTAAAAATTTAAAATTAGGATCTGGTTTATTCACTTTAAACATTTTTTTATCTATTTATTTCTTCAAATAGAATCAAACCAAATTTATTTAAAAAAAGTGAATGAGATGAAATAAGTTGGCAGCTAATGATTAAGCCACTTTGGGTGGGATGGTCCGGTGGCAACGAAAACCTGGAGGCCCTTAATTATTTAGTGGGGGTGTGTAATTATTTGTGGACTCCCAAAAAAATTCAATGGAGATTTCTTTGTTTGACTTGTAGTACCAACAGTTTCATTAATGGAAGAACTTGCTCCGTTAGACATTTTTTAATAATTTTGTCATTCAAACCGGTATTTATTTAGAAAAATTATGTCGTAATTACATTATCGCTCTTATGGAAATTCTATTTTTGGAGAGGCCCTGGATAAACCTACCCTTTGCCTTGGATCCAGAATTGTTTGTGACGGTCAGCATTCATTGTTATTTGTAATAATGGATGCTTTTATGATTACTTTGACACTATAGTTTGAATGTAGTTTCTTATAATTTTCTAGGGTAATTCTTGTTAATGCGACAAAACTAAATCTATCTGGTTCGTGTTTCGGTGTTGTAAAGTTATTCATAGATTAATGATTTCTTTGACGCAGATTTTCAAAGGTATATAATGAACATTGACTTATTAAAAATGAAAAAAATTGCTATTTAAATTGGTTGGCTCTTGTATATGATCAATACTTCCACATGTAACGACTTAAATTATTTAGTTTCAATTTATACACTTAGCGCACTCTAATTTGTGATTTAACTTTACTTAAAACTGAATTCCAAAATGCTTTTTCAAAATTTTAAACAAAATTAATTAATTAATACATGCAGGCTACTAATCATTTGAAATAATCAAATATATAAATAAATTTATAAAAAGAACACTTCAAAATACGTTTATTGTAAAAATAGTCAAATTTAGAAAAATTAGTTTACAAAGAACACAGTTTCAATTTCATTTTTTTTTAATTTTTAAACTTTGGGGTCATTTTAAAACGGCTAATCATATTGACATTGTGGTTGTTGTGGTTTGTTTGACTGGTTGGTTGTGGTTGTGGCTGTTGTTTGACTGGTTGGTTGTGGTTGTTGTGGTTTGTTTGACAGGTTGGTTGGTTGTGGTTGTGGTTTGGTTGATTAGTTGGTTGGTTGTCAAACTTTCTCTACTATATACAATCAATATATTATTATTATCATTATTATTCTATTATTATTATTATTATTTTATGTTGTTTCATTATTTTTGTACTTTTAAGTTTTTGAGTGGCCATACAAGTTTCTTAGAATTTTACCGTTTCCCAGACACCGCTGTTTGAAATAATAATAATAATAATTTTTTTGTTGTTTGATTGGCTGGTTGTTGTGTCTGTTGTTGGCTGGTTGTTGTTTGATTGGTTGGTTGTGGTTGTTGTTGTTTGATTGGTTATGGTTGTTGTTGTTGATAGGCTGGCTGGTTGCTGTTGTTGTTGTTGGCAGGTTGTTGGTCTGTTGTTATTTGATTGGCTGGTTATGGTTGTTGTTGTTGACGTTTGATTGGATGGTTAATGAGTTTGTTGTTGGCTGGTTGTTGTTTGATTGGTTGGAT